ATGTAGCTGTGGAGAAGCACACAAATGTCACTGGTATACTGTTGCAAGACTAGTGATAGCCTCATGCCTTTCTGAACAAGTAAAATTAGGAGTGAAGTAATAGCATGTCAGAATTCATCTTCACCCTAAACAACTAAACAACACAGAAACAGGTAGGCTTTATTAGCAACTGTTTCCAAGCCTCTAGCCTTCCTTTTCATTTTATTTGCCTATGTTTTCTTACTGTGTTTACCATGGTAAAGTTATGATTCCCTATTTATTTGTTTGTTTGTTTGTTTGTTGATATAATACCAGAGAATTTGTTATTCTTTTGGCATATATAACTAAATATTACTAAATATTTTGCATCGGCAATCAAGAACCTTACCTCACAAGTAGGCTCCATTTATGATGCTTTATTGTCAACTTAATAATTATAATACTTAAAATATCGTATATTTGACATCCTGCTCAGTCTGTATTTTCTTTCACAAAATGCAAAACAACATATAGATGAGTCATTATTGTTTGCCTGTGTTGTGTCCTGATATAAACCAGGGTGGATATAGTGAATTTTTGATATATTAGTCATTTTATATTAAACAGAACTAGGGCCTTGTTTTGTCGTCACCGTGGCTCAGTGGTTTGCACCTTTGCCTCTTGCTTCCAAAACTGGGGTTTGAATCTTACCTCTTTTCTGTGTGTGGAGTTTGCATGTTCCACCTATAATCCAAACAGTGGTGGCTGTAAACCATTTAACTGGGGGTGGGGGGGCAGATTGTCCTCCAACTGTTAGTCACATTACATTGCCAGCATTACGAAGCAAAAAACAATTTTGAAAATCAGTAAGTTATTTATGCAATGCTTTGCAGTCACATTTTGCAGTTCTTACAAACATGTAACATGTAATTTCTTGTTTAGAATGTCTTGCTTCCACAAGCCTAATTATTTCTTTTTATTGTTAACCTTGATATCCACCGACTGAAGTGATTCGACTACCTAGTGCACCTGCATTAAAAGTCCATCAAAAAAATGTGCTTACGTTTATTTTGCCTGTTCCCAGCACACAAAGTTTTATCCCATATATATATATGTAATTAATAGTAATAGTAATATATTTATTTCTGACCCAAGTAGCATGCGTATTTAGGGGTGGCTACTTGGGGGGCCATGCGTACCCCCCCCTCAGAACACCCCTGAGGCCAAAACCTGCCCTTAGGTTAATGGGCCTATTTAAATTGCTTATAGTTGGTGTATGTGCCCTATGATAGTTTGGCATCCCGTTCAGGGTGTTTTCTGGCCCTCTGCCCTAGGCTGCCTGGGATAGGCTAGAGGCCAGCCTATGACCCTGACCCAGATAAGTAGTCAGAAAATGGGTGGATGGAGTGGACGAGTCATATTTTTCTTCATAGACCTGCTGCTAGAGCTATTTTTAGCAAAAAACGACTTTTAACACCAAAATAGGCATTTGCGGGCCCAAGAAGCTGGAAGCATCGCAATGCAGCAGTGGAGGATCTTGATTTGGTTCAACATGTTTTCTTCACCATGTTCTCAACACATGGGCATGTGTGAGTGTGGTGACAGCCAAAGGAACTCTACACCCCCGGACGCCTGGTTCCACCAGTCAAACATAATGATGTAGAGTGGGTTTGTGAACTATGGCTTTGGTTCACCCACTAAATTGGATGGTAAAGCGAGTGTCCCTTTAAATGTAAATGGTTGGATAGAAGCTTCTTGGGAGGGGGACAAAACTCCTAAGGGACTGGGTAAGATTATTGTAGAGAACTACTTTGATTTAAAAAGCATGAAACCACAAAATAGCTATCAGAGTAAATAGGCTGAACTGCAGCATCTATTCAATAATACTTCTTCTATCCTATATTCTTATGCCTGGTCATCTGCATCCTTTGATGATCCAAAAGATCAGCGTTTTATGCTGTCATCAGGTTTGAGGAGCACTAGGATTTATCTTCCAAGACCTCACAGAGTACTAGATATTAGTATTAGTATTCTAGTATTTCTATATATACTAGAAAATTTAAGGTAAAAGCCTAAATGTCTAAAATCTGAGACGTTTTCAGGGGCAGGTGCTCAAAGGATGAAAAAGAGGCACTTGGTTCCCTTAAAGCTCATACACAAGTTCACCCCCCACTCCACCAAGTTCAACATATTACACATTAACCTTTAAATATGCCTGCAACCCTGATCAGGCTAAGCATTTAGAAGATGGAAGGACTTGTACGTAAAAATATGAGGAAAAAAATAACAAATTACATTGCTGTACCTAATTTATGACACTATTGCTTGTTGATATCCAGTAATTCCTTAGAAAACACCTTGTATATGAAGAAAATCTTCACACTCTGAAAACTTTTTAGGAGGCAGAACATCTGCTACTATGAAATCAGAATGTAACATTTCTGGAGGTTCCAACTGATTTGCCATGAGGCTGAAAGGTGAACTGAACTCCCAATGTCCTAACATTGCTGTATGACCTCCCTACAAGGATTATTGCTAAGTATTTGTCATGTAGTTAACAAGGTATCAAGTTGTACAATTTAAATCCAAGATATGAGGTAATAACAGGCCATTTCCATTTGAAGGATGGCATTAATTGGACAAAGTAGATTGGATGGTAAAAAAAGTCTAAAGGAGGTGCACATGTGGAAGATGTCTCCTCATGCAGTCAATAAAATGTGACACTTGATATGCTAACCTTAAGACAGTGTTCTTATTTGGAGTAAAAGCAAAAATAGCTGCTTGCTCAGCTCCTCTGTCAGAGCATTGCTATTTGTCATGAACAACATTGAGACTTATTGTGAAGCTGGCATCTGACCATCCTTTGATGTCTATCTGATCTTGAATCTCCTTCGATGAACAAATGTCAGACAGTGAGCAGTAGGTGTAGAAGAATATCTTATTATACCAAGCAACCTGTTGAATGTTATTTTTGTTTTCATTTTTTCTTTTTGTTTGCAAGGATTGTTATGTTAGGTTTAAATTGTTTGGATTATTTGTAATTTTAGCTGACAATGTAGATTCATTTATGTGTTCAATTTCAGATTGTTATTTAAATTCAATCTGCAATATGAAATATATTTTTATTAGGCATATTGTTTGATTTGTTGATCTTTTTAAAATGTATTCTATGAATATTTGTTGCACCTGTTTTAGGTCTGTAGTCAAAGTCTAATAATGTATGCCTCGTCTACTAATGATACTCATCAGTGAATTTAGGACTGTGCTTGTCCGCTTCATTAGATTAGGTAATAATTGTTTGCTTTTCTTTTTGCAGAAGTAGAATATTTGATTATTGAAGCATGGAGCCAAGGACAAACTGTCATTAAGCAGCTACAGTGTTCCCGAAAATCAAGGTAAGGCAGTTTTAAAAATTATTTGCTGATTAATAATAAAATAACTTCAGTTAAATTCAGTTATTAAGTAAATAAATCATGAGTATATCACTGTTAGAAAGCACAGTATATGGCTGGCTATTGTTTTGTCAGTAATGGATTAGGAGTGGCGCAGTGAGCTTATTTCTCTAGGGTTTGGGGTTTCTATTCTGTTCTATTCTATTCTAGTCTATGAATAGAGCGAAGGGTATGTAATATGAACTGAGCCTATGCGCAAAATACAATAGAGCAAAGACCTTTTCAGCAGAATACAGTGAGCCAGTGAGGGTTAGTGGTAGGGTGAGGTTTATTGAGATGTTCTTGGGAGAGATGGGTCTTTGAAGGTTGTGAGGAAATTTGCAGCTTGGATGCTGTTAGCATCTGTGTCCTTGGGCTGCTTGGTCCTCACTGACTGGTCGACTGATTTTAGATGTTTGTTATGAAGTTTTTTATTTGAAGGCTATTTTAAAGCTTTAAAATGGTAGATATTGCCTTAAAATTATTGACTTTTTTGGTCCCTCTTTCCAAGGAACCCCAGGTTCTGTATCAGGTTGTAGCACAGGTCAAGTCAATTTTCTTCCTAACTTTCCGACATTACGAGCTTGACAGGCAAATCAGCTCGCCGAACAGGTCCATGGTGGGGGAAGTGGTGGTAAAGTCAACGACAAGGCTTGCAGTTTACTGGTTACTCAACATTATGACTCAACACTTATGGTCATGTGTTGTGGGTAATGACCGAAAGAACAAGCTACAGTAGTGAACATGAGCGGCCAAAATGACGTTTCTCCAAAGTGTTGCTGGGTTTACTCTTAGTGGCAGAGTGAGGAGTTTGGAGATCTGGAGGATTCTCAAAATAGAGTTGCTGTTCCTTCTGATGGAGAGGAGTTAGTTGAGGTAGTTTGGGCATCTCATAAGTATGCCACCTGGCTGGCTTACGAGGGAGCTGTTCCAAGTATGGAGCACTGGACAGAGGCCCCAGGACAGACCAAAGATCTTTGCCAGGGATTATATCTCCCAGCTGGCTTGGAAGTGCTAGAGTTGCCTTGTAAACAGAAGTCTGTTCTTAGTTCTGAGGCAAACTGCCACCATGCCCATCACCAGGAAAATACGTTTGAAGATGGGTAGATATTTGACAAAATATTATGTCCAAAAAAGGTGCATAGTACGATAAGCGTCATAACTGAAATTATAGCCTAATGGAAGCTTTGAAATGAGTTAGCAATTATTTTAATGTTTCCTCAGGCCATCTATCCATCTATATTCTGCAAACACTTATCCAGTTTAGGGTTGTGTAAAGTCTGGAGGTAATCCAAACAGAAGACAGGGCAGAGTACTCCAAATTCCTTGATGAAAATGTGGTGTAGAGAAAAGTCAATGAAACAGTGATTGAGCAGATCTGTTGAGGATATAACCAGGCAATTTTATTGACCAGTTTTTGCAGAAGCACATTTCACAAGAATTTCATATCGTATGATTTCTTGCTACTTTGTATCATATTGGTTTTGTCCTTCATTCATCCTTCCTTGCCCTTGAAAGAAATGAAAAGGTCAGTTAGGAAACTTTTTAGTTGTTTTTTTGGTAATATTTTAAATTTAGAATTTAAAATACTACAATATATTAAATTCTTCCTTATTTAAATGTTGTAAATCTTAGAATTTGTTGGTAAGTGCCTCCATTATATTCAACATATACCTTTCCAGCTTCGCGGCTCTTGGCTCTCAGCTTGTTGACCTGAGACTCAGCGATGTCGGCACGCTCCTGGGCTTCCTCCATCTCATGCTGCACCTTCCTGAACCTGGACAGGTGAGTGTTGGCCTGCTCCTCCTGTACAGCAGTCAAAGACCTCATCAGTGCAATGATTAAAATGAATAGTCAATCACATTGCTTTTTGCTTTTTCTGCTTTTCATATGCCGAAATGACAAAATTTCTGTATGGCAAAGAAAAATATTTTCTCTGTTGAAGAAACAGGTTATTGAATATTTTTTATGTTTACCAATAGCTCACATGACACAGCAGAATTAGCAATATTTGAGGAGAATTTGACTTACAGCTTCCTCAGCCTGTCTCTTGTAGGACTTCACTTTCAGCTGCAGCTTGTCCACCAGATCCTGCAGTCTGTTCACATTCTTCTTGTCCTCCTCATTCTTTAGTTAATTTAGTAGTTTTAATAGTTTTAAATTAGATAACATGTAGATTTTCTCCAATGTGTTAAATTTTCATAAGACGCATAAAGTCCTACCTGGTAGGTAAGCTCCTTGACCCTCCTTTCGTATTTACGGACACCTTTAATAGCTTCAGCTCCACGTCTCTGTTCAGCTTCAACCTCAGCTTCCAGCTCACGTACCTTAAATACAGGAATTCAGCTGTCACTCACGGCTGAAATGATGGTTTGAAATTTGTAATCATAAATGTCAACATTGTCAATATCTTGTCTTTCTTTATAGAATCTATTATCTGTAAAGGTTCACAAAAATAAGTGTGATAGGTCAGCATTGCAAAATTAATAGTTATAATAGTGATACTACACCATAATATTCGACATAATCGATTAAGTTCGAAGATGTGAACAGCTGTACAGCCATCTGCATGTACTATTGGCAGGGGTGTAGCATTGCATGAATATATTCCAAAAAACCACAGGCATAACTTTGGGTTGAGCATGGGGGGAAGGGGGTGAGATTGAGGTCTCTACCCATTGAAGGGGGACCAGGGGGTTGTATTGGTCGGTTTTGTTAATTGAGGGGGTTACAACACCCCCCAACCACCCCCCTCCATAATTTTGCTCATGCAAAGAACAGGAGAGAAAAAGAGAACTTTTTTTTTTTTTTTTTATATTTGTTCTTTAGTTTCAAAGACTGTGCCTGGGATATAAGACCATTCTTCCATTAAATTGTGCCATTTGGTGTTTTGTTGATGATGGTGGGAAATGCTTTCTTAAGTGTCCATTTGGGTCACCAGATGACCTGTCATAGACTCTCATAATTGTCAGCTGTGCTGAAATAGGGTTACTGGGGAGACCAAAGCATACAGTTAACACTGTTTTCATGCTCAGCAATCCGTTCAATGATCACTGATAACGAGAACTTCAACTAATTCCAATAGGATACAAAATGCTTTAACACATGATTGGTGTGAACTCTGAATAATTAGAATTTTAATGAAAAAATAAATCCAGTGGCTGACCCTGGCTTCCAGTTTCTGCAGCTGTTTCTTTCCACCCTTCATGGCCAGACTCTCAGCCTCATCCAGACGATGCTGCAGGTCCTTCACTGTGACCTCAAGGTTCTTCTTCATCCTCTCCAGGTGGGCGCTGGTGTCCTGCTCCTTCTTCAGCTCCTCTGCCATCATGGCAGCCTGAAAGGTTCATTCGCAATTGTTTTTTATAAGAATGATGTTGGTTCTGGATATTTTACTGTTTTACAGTCTCAAAGTAATTTTTGTTTTAATACATGACTCACATCAGTAATGGCCTTCTTGGCCTTCTCCTCTGCATTTCTGGCTTCCTGAATGGCATCGTCCACCTCACCCTG